CTCGTTCATTTAGTGGCTGGTTTGTTAGTTGGTTGTTTGGTTGTTTGGTTGTTTGGTTACCACCTTGCTTGTTTTGGGCTGACTTACGAAAGAGGTTAGTAGCACGGCTTTTCACAAGTTTGTTTCTCTTCATTTTTTTTTTTTTTTCTTTATTTTTACTTTTCTTTTGATTTTGTTCAATCATATAAATGTGGATGGAGTCTTGTGAAAAATAAAAATAAAGACACAAACACAAATACAAACGCAAATAAATAGAGAAAAACAGCAATTGAAATGATTGCATTTTATGATTGTCAAAGACAAGAAATGGTATTTTTATGCGTTTCTTTTATAAAAATTTTTTCAAGGAAATGCTGAGAAAAATAAAAACGAATAACAGAATATAGTAAATGAAGACATTAAATGTGTCAAGAAAGCGCGAATGAAAAAATTATTCTTAAGAAAAGCAAAAAAAAAAAAAAGATGGAAACGAAAGACTTAAGGTGCGAACTCTGCCACTTGAACCTTAGCAATAACTCGCGTCGTCCCCATATATATAGAAAAGTCTTTTCGAGCGCAATATAAATACGCGTAAAATGAAGAAAAGCCATTTGTAAACGAACTCTTTATTTCCTTACATTGCTTACATTGCTGCAAAATGTATATTTTGTAGTTGTTCTTGTTATTGTTGTTGTTATTATTATTATTTTTATTTTAATATTAAAATAAATTACAGTACATCTGAGGTTTTCATTGATTTTCACATTTTTTCCTTCTTTACATACCACATGTATATATATGCGTGTGTCTACGAGCGTCTATATACACACTTTTTATATATGTAGAGTCATTTTAATTTAACCAACTTACAATGCCCACATATTTGCCAGTTGATGCAGTTAAACCCGTTGCAGCACGTATTCTCTGCACCTGTTATGGCAAAATTCGTTAATTGAGAAAAAAATCCAAAGAACGAACCGACCAGCCGGATTTTATTTAATGGTCAATGCAAGCTTCTATAATATGCTTAACATATTATAAAAAGAAACAGCGTCTGGTGCTACTTTAACACTTTGATTTGCGTTATACTTGCAGTAACAGCAAACACTGGATTCATTATTGAAATCATTCGAAATGTATATATAATGTATGAGAAAATAAAAATTAATCGCTTCACTAGTCATTTGAAAAAGAAAAACGAACTTTTTTATTGCAAACCTCACCTGATGCTTTTTATCAAATTTTGATTTTAAAAATTTGTAGCAAAACCTCTTAATAAAGCACATATAACACCATATCTCTCTGATAGGTTTATAATTTTTTAAAAAGAGTTTAAGAGAAATGTGCAAGAAATGTTTTTCGTTGCGTGGAATCACAACTGAGATCGCTAGAAGCTACGACCTTTACGACCTTTAAAAATTTTCGCGTACCGTTCATCCATTTTAGCCAATTGATGTATTTTGCGGATAAACAAAACTAAAAATAAAGGAAAGGCGCTATCATTATCATTATCTTATGCGGTTTCTATCTAAGTGTTTAGCTTTTTTTTTTTTTTTTTTTATAGGAAAATCTGGTGTATCCCCTAAAGTCAATGACAACTCTTCTATTCTCAAATGAAGAGCGCATGGATAGGTTTCTTAAGGGGCAAATTGATAAGTTTCGATTTTCCACGGAAGAAGTGGTAATTGTGCCTTCCAAAGGATTAGTTCGCAAAAAGCGGATGAACAAAAGATGGAATGAATGTTTAAATTGAAATTTACTTCGACAATTAGTAAAATACTCCAAGCTTTTTGAACGCGTATGCAGAAAATCGTTCGCACTCACTTAAAAGGGTATATAAGTAGAGAACGAGCTTGAATGCTTACGTACGTACAGATTCATCCCACTATAGCGTAGTTACTAAAAGGGGCAGACAATAATAATGGTTACGGGTAACTAACTGATTTGAGAAGCAGTGTAATGTGTGAGAAATAGTGCACTCAATGTTTAGAAAAGTATCTAACGCATAAAAAGAATTTTCGATATATGATAAATATACCCTAAATTATTTTGATTAGATCACATCACAGAGTCAATACATAAATAGAAGGTAGCAAATAATCGAACTATTTTGAAATTTTGCACACATGTAAATATAGTAATTGATATATAATTTGCTCTTAATAATGTTTGTTTATTTATTTATTTTTCTTCTTTTTTTTTCCTCTTAAGAATTTATATAATTTTTTTTTTTTTATTAAAAATCTCTTACACTTCTACCATATACTCTAATATACTATCATTTCATTAAAATTTCAATCATGTCAAGCCGTCGCATGAGAAAAGTACTAATGAAACTCGTCGCTGCTCATCACTTTTCTTACTTTTTCTTTATAACGTAATTATCGTCAATGTTATCATTGATATTTGCACAAAGCTTTTAAAAGCGGACAATACAGAAAATCTGCTCGAGCTGCAAACCAAGAGATGTAATTAAGCATGGATATGTGTGTGCGCTGCAAACCATCCAAACCTACAATTTTGTTATAACTCATAAATTGAATAAGATACCTGCAGCTATCCATGGGTGTGTACGTGCAGGTGTCTGTGAATAGTTGTAACAGGAGTAGTAGTAATAGTTGTAGTAGTAACAGCGGTGGTAAGTAAGTTCGCTTAGAATGATTGTTGGGTACCTATTATCTCAATAAACACCGTTCCTTTTTTGTTTTTTTCTTTTCTTTTCTCCCTTTTGAGCATGTTAGCTGGCCGATCAAGGCAATTTCCGCATCAATTCTTGACACGGCAGTTCTACATATTTACGGCATATGTAAGATTAATATCTGATATAACTCTTAGATAAATGACAGCAATAATTACGAGCCTTCATATTTTTGTCGTTTAATTTGTTTATAAGCGATTGCGGCCATTTTATGAACTAACACGATTGCGATAAATTTTTGATTTCGAACAATATGCATACACAATGCATATCATTTTCATTACTATGATGGTGGTCATATTGTTAACGCTTATTTAATTATTTATGGACATTTGGCGGGCTTGAGAACCTTCTTGAAACTGTCAGCGACCGCTAGCAAAACACGCTACAGTAATTTTGTAGCTTCGCTTGCGATAAGCAAATTAATAGCGTCATGCAGCTGACTCTTGTATTAGTTGTGAAGCATCAATAACGATTGCCGGACAAAGCTGCACACCTACCTCCCCCTCATCATTCTTAGACATTCCACAAACTAAGTAAGAAAAAAACCATTTGCTTCCGCTCCATATTTCATTTAAATGCAAACAAACAAACAAAACTGCGAAATCCTAAATTTTTTCCTATTGCCACAACTAAACCGTCTCTCTTTTGTTAGCTCCTAATGCCAAAATGACAATATTGAAGGAAAAATACTGCTGTTTTAGTATCTCGCTAAGCGCTTATGTTTCATCTACGATAGCAATTGCTGTCAACGTCAGTTGGTCGATATCTAACTCCTTGTGCATTTATTAATGTTTTTTCTTGAGCAGGCAGGCACGCTATACCATGGGAAAGAACAAATGCCCAGTTAAACCATAGACAATTAAATGATAACATGATTCAACATATTGCTCAAAATTCAAACTAGGAAACTGTTATGCTCTTTTTGTGTTCCTGTTATCAATAACAGTGGTAACGCTGTTAATTTGTACCAATTTGACTGCTTGCAATCGCATTCTCATTATTTGTACGATCAAAGATTCTGTCAATAGTTTCTCTTGATTTTACGTCGCATTCTCTCAAACGTCAAAATTCTGTGTTTTTTAAGTGAATGTATGCCATGGCACATTAGCAAGAATACACAAGTATATCTTCATAAACTAGTCGAGAACAAACTAATACTTAGGTATTGACGCGGCACTCTATACTTGATGCTAGCTGGAGTGGCTCGCAAAGAAGTTCAGCTGGCAAATTGGAAATGTAAAAAGTCTCGATAGAAATTGTAATTGAATTTTTGGAAATTTTGGAAATAAAAATCTCTGATTTGGAAAAGAAAAAGTATTGTCAAAATAAAAGCTTCAGCATTTTGCTAGACCTAGCTAAACAATTCAGTTAGTAAATGAAAAATCGCTTATGAAAATTACAAATTTGTGATTATATAAGTAATTCCTTACTTTGCGATTATCTATATTAACCAGAACAGAAATTTTTAAATGTCCAAGTTCAGATTTTCATTAACAGACGAATATTTGACAATTTCAGTTGAGATCCTTCAAATTGCAAGAAAATTGTATTCCTTTGATAGCGAAACTTGCATCTTATATACATGATATATACAAAGTTTCGATTTTACACTGACTAATAAATGAAATACTCGAGTCAATATACTTTATTGGCCCTCTCATTTTTAGCTATTCTTAATGTCCTTGCGATCGGATGAAGCATTTTTCTGATAATCTCTCAGACGGTTCCTGCAAGAATTAATATCCAATTTTGTTTCCAATCTTATCTTTTTCGAATTGTAAGTTACAGTTTTTTTATATTATGGCCACTCTCAAATTCACAGCTTTTAAGCTGAGAATGTATGCGTCGGAAAAAATAATGAAACTTCTTTAATAAAATAAAAAAGAGAGCAATCACATTCTTCCAAAGCATAATACGAAAGTCCCTTTAAATCGCAGTTTTAGTTGGTTCGTAAGAGAACCATTTAGGTGAAACAATCTCTGAATATCTCTGTTGACCAACCAAAGTTAGGAACCGTAAATTTCTCTATAAATAAATGAAATTTAATTTTCATATTTAAAATATTTCTTTAATATTTATTTAAATTACGCTTTACAATTTTAATTAAATTCATTTGATTCAAAATCTATAAATTTTCTCTTGTCATAAAGAAAAATTCAATGGCCATAAATAATATTTGCGATCAAATGAAATCAAAATTAATAAGAGTTAAGAAGAATATATTTTTCAGTTATTGCATCGTTTTCTTCTCTTCCGGTTTTTCAATTTTTCAGGAATGTTTTCGCGATAAAATATAACAAAAAAAAAAATTGTGTATAAACAAACAAACAAACAATTATTTAATCGAATACTTGATAAGAGGAATGTTTTCTTTCCTGTAAAAAGAAATATACATACAATTCGTCCTTTCTTCAACGTTCTATTCTCTGCTATTTTCACTTTGTGTTTATCTGCCATTCCAATAACAAACTTTTCCATTTTCAAATGCCAGATTAAGACGCGGATGGGGTAAATTTTTGCCAATTTTTACCAGTTCGCCACTGGGTTCATCTTCAAAGTATAAACATTGTTTAACAAATTTATAGAATTTCTCGGACATTTGTTCAGATCTAATAATCAATTTCTTTAGATTTTCCTCCGAACACAATTTGCGCACAATCTGTTCGCAAATCCGTGTATTGCAGTCGACATCGAATAGCGGTACACCGAAATTAACATCCAGTAAAGTCCATTCTTCTGTAATATCTGGCGCGTTAACGTCGTAGTTACCGATTGGTTCAGAATTTAGCAACTCTTCCACGGAGGCATGACTTAATTCAGATTTAACACTGGCCAAGAGTTCATTGCAATTCTCGGCCATCGTGTATACCGCCGAATGTTCATTATTTTGTGGACTATTTGCAAAGTAATTTTCATCTGGGCTTTTTAAATTACGTTGCGGTGAGTTGCCTGGCCGTGAAAAACTAGTCAACTCCGTATTATCGGGAGACATTAACTCCTTAGTTATGTCAGGCATAGTAACTTCCTCTTTTCTACCTTTCGGTTTCTTTGGCACTTTTTCTGTTTGATTATTTATGTTATTTTTTACTTTATCAATTTTAAGTTTGCTTCTGGAGAGCTTTAAGTGTACGTCCACATCACATATCTCACAACCTATATCCGGTACACCGGTATTTAAAAATGTTATATAGCCGCAATGGTATTCTAGATCCAGATGTTCTTCTAGTTTTAGAACAGCTTTATGTGTGGACCATTTACTTTGACTCGGATCGGTCTTTACAAAGGGGAAGGCTTCATAACGTAATTCCCCAGGTGTACGTATACCATAACCCTGTACAAGAACGCAACCGTTTTTCAATTGATCATTTAAATTACGAAAATTTTCACTATTAATTATATAGGAATCAGAATGTAAAATGTACACAAGTAACTTGCCGTAACCTAGGAATAAGCGTGGCAAGGCTTTCAATACGGTGCCCCGGCATAAAAACAGACTAGGCGGCCCGTAACCTGAGAATAGAAAAAATAATAATAATAATTACTGAATCTGGGACGAAAAATTGATTCTCCTATTTACCTGTTACATGATTGTAGAATAACTTCGTCCACATATGCGTGCTATCGCAAGTACTGTAAAATTGACCAAAAAATGGTACACTAAACAAATGAGATAGATTGGCAGTCAGAGGGGTGGCCGAAATAATAAATTTATATTTTTTCTCCAATACACGATCTCTAGTCTTTTGATCCAAGCATTCTAAACATTCTAGGCGCAAAAGATCTAAGCCTCCTGGTAATAAATGACGCAAAGAACAAATGGTTGATCGTAGTATGACAGCGTGCGCAAAGTATCGCGATACATCGCCTTCGCCCTCAGCATCAAGCAGTGAGACCTTTTCCAATTCATTTAAAAATGTGTCTAAACTCTCTTCACACAACTTTCCCACTTCAAACATTGTCACAGCATGATTTTTCAAGCCTGGTGATAGGTTGCCCATCATTAAGAATGCCGTGAGGGTAGAATCGAACAAGAATCCCACACGTTTACCAGTTTTCGGCGATTGTTCCGCGACGGATGGTGGTGTCAAAGAGGAAACTTCCCTAACGCTTTGCTTTGTTGTACTCTCGCTAAGATCATCAACTTCCGAGGAAAGATCTGGATCATCCGATGACGGTATACCTGTATTCGGAGGCGAAGTATTTGGCTGAGGAGAAGGCATGGGCATATTGGCAAAACTAAATTCGCTGGTATTGCCATCTGAAGACAGGTATCCAATTGAATTGCTGTCTTTATCTTTTTGCTTATCTTTGTACATGTCTTTGGGTTTCTCTTGATTGATGATTATATCTGCATCGGAAACGGTATAATTATTGTAATTAAGAGGTGTAATTTGTGGTACATCTTTGGCCAGAGCTTGTTCTTTTTTAAACTCATCCCATGAGCAATGAAATTTATCTTTATTACAATCTCCTAAACTACTTTCGCTTACAGCCGATTCTTTAAGTTGAGCAAAGCCCAATCGACAGAATAAGCTAATGGCATGCTTCACTGAATCCAAATCTAGTTGCAGCATTTGAGCCAATTCTGCTATAGTCATATGTTCATCAGCGCTAACAAAGATTTTGTAGAGCAGATTTTCGAAGTAATCGCCGCTGACGCGGTTCATTACAAAATTCCTTAAGGGAGGTATACATATACGGTCTTCTCCAGATATGGGAACATCTAAGTAGATTAAGCCTTTGCGATAAAGACTGTGGACAATATTATAATTGCACTTGCCCGCTGTTTGAGAGCCAAAGTCGATCAAATCGTCAATCAGACCACGTTCCGACGGCGTTACAAACTTTATATCGGATTCCAGAATAAAGCCTACTTCTATCCGCCACCATGGTTCAATTCGGATACGTAGAGGAAATTTTGGTAAAAAAGCCAACGGGTTCGGCTTAGCAGTAAATAACACAGCTCTTGTAGTATGAGTTTTTAGCTCGCTAATCAAAGATAAATATTCATTTCTTCCAATACCCAAAACTCGTAAACAATCCACTGCCGTGAAATTGGGTAAGGTATCGTAACTTTTGTCGTTGCGCAGCAATTGTGATAAAACATCCAAGTAGTAGTTGAATGGTGTCACTCTTAAACCTTTGGTGACAACATCAGCTAAATGATATGGAAACAAGCACAATGTGTTAATGCTCTTCTGTACCAGCAGTTCGTAATAGCGCTGCTCACGTCGAAACACTTTCGCCACTAGATTACCACGAAAACGTAATTGATTTTTTAGACTGTAATTAAACACATATTTCTCGTAATCCCTTTGATTACTATGCAATATCTGCTTTAAATGAACGGGCAATAAATGCCACGGCACATTCTGACGCACGCAGTTGGCTATGTCCTCAACAACCTTTTCAGAACTCATTTTGTTGCAGTTGTTTTATGTCTCAACTGTTAACAGTCACACCATTTATACTTTGGTCACAACGCGTTCCAAATATATTTGAGAAATTTAAAACGTATAGTCTAATGCATTCAGCATTTTCTTCTCGGTTTTCAACTTGTTTCATGAAAACCTTTTATTGGAATTTTTACATTCCTCCAAGCACAAGTAATTACAACGTAAATTTCCGATTACAACTATTATCTTTGCTTAGTAGCATGTTGACGATAACGTAACGTAAGTAGAAATGGTAAACGTACTTTGCACTTTACTTATGTCGGAAATACTGCATAAGAAACGAAGCTTCAAACGTGTTATTCAGTAAATATTTTAAAATGATAATGACTCTTTTATACGTTTAAAGAATAAAAAGAAAATTCTTAGCTTAGTCCGATATAGGTACCCCCTTAAAGTGCCTTGCCACTTTACTGAGAGAGAGAAAGATTTCACTTAAGAAAATGACGAATTATTCTACGTCGCCACAATTGTGTTTACTTTTTCGTATGAAAAGTTGGAATTTTTTTATATAAAGATAATCATATAAGTCAAATCGGCAATGGTTAATAGAATGCATTATTATCTTACGACTTGTCGCAACCCTAAGAAAATAAATTTTGATATGTAAAGTAATGTCAATCTAATTGGTTAGTATGCGCTTTTGTTTAAAAGACTATTTTCGAAATTATGATATGTACTGATGATAATGAAGGGATTATTTCTCAAAATTTACAAATTTACAAATCCAAAATGTACATTTCCAAAAGAAAAAAAACATTACAAATTGCAATCATTGAGTGATTACAAATGGCTATTTGCAATTTTCAATCTCCAATTTATAACCTCGATAAACTCGAACACAATGCTTTTCCATTACTTGTTAGCAAATTTCAAGAACATTGCCTTCACTTCTTGCTCTTATTTTGCTTACTCCTCAATATATATAGATAATTAGCGAATAAATACTTCTATCATTTGACTCCAAATTATAAAAGATCTCTGGCCATTGCCGTTAACAGAAATACGCAACCATATGCTTTCATATGAAAAATGGAATTTCAAATCTTATAGTTTACAATATACATTTGTGTTTTAGATGTATTACATAAACTCATTATTAAGTACTAGCTTATACAATTTAAATTTATTGATTAAATTAGTTCAAAATTGCAAAAAAAATTTCAATCATGAAATATATTAATCCAAAAGTGTACTCCCAATTTAGTGCTTCTTTTTACCGGAGAACATTACTTGCGCTCTTGAGGCATATATATAACATAATGCTTCAATTTATTTTAAACTGGAGAATAAAAATAAATTAGCATGTCTGCTATTGCTGAATATTTCGTATGAGACCATTAGTTAGAATACCATAGCTATTACCAGAATTTGCTAAGATATTTTGCCATTGTTCTTGATTATCACAATTCAATTTACTTGTATCTTAATCAACAAATCGAATAAGTAAGTAGTCTTGTATCGACAGAAAAGAAAAATTTTTTTGTATAGAGTAGGCTGCTGTCTATTGAGTTAGATTATTAAGCTTATGGCAACATTGGTAATGACAGTTAAGAAAACACAATCGATTAATTTCCTTTTTTCTTTTTTGGGGTGACAATAATAAGAAAAAAAAAAAAAAGAAAATTTATTCTTTATTTTTGATAGAAAAATTCTGCAATCCGAAATATAACAATCCGCAACATAAACAATAGAGATTTAGACGTATTTGACAGAAAATTCATTTAATAAAATTGGGGAAAAGTCAGTGTGTATTGCTGTGTGTGGCAAAAAAAAGCGTAAAAACGACAAACAATAAAACGTATCTATGAACCCAGCAGACAAGTTGCCAGTTGGAGAGGCGGCTCAAAACAATTCAATGTCGGATGACGAAGATAACTCGAGGTAAGGTATTCACTCTTTCAAAATTCCTATAATATATATATGTATATATAATTGTCACAGAATTCAAGTGGATTTGTCTACGTCTGCAAGACAAACCCCAATCACTACAGGTACTACGGCTAATAGCACAACAACCAATACCGCCATTATCACTACCGCCATTACCGCCTCCACTAACACGACATCTTCACCTTCTACTCCTATAAGTAATCCACACGCCGACATGAAAAGATCGGCTGTAAAAGAACTCATTGAACGTTATTTTTATCAATTGCAAAGAGGCTGTGGCAATCCAAAGTGCTCCAATGTCAATTGTGCTTCTAGCGGCAAGGTGGCAGCCATGACACCCAATGAAATAGCCGCCAAGGCTATACAATTGTTTTCGCAGGATGCCAAATTGTGTGATTTCTATACGCAACCACCCAAAGTGCCACGTACAGGGCCGCAACATGACTCACCCACCAGTTCAACAACAGCCAGCAATGCCACTACACCTAGTTTGGGAGATCTAGACTCGAGTATATCCCCTCAGGAACAGACAAGTTCTAGTAATAGTAGCAATATAAGCAGCGGCAATAGTACCATTACCTCAGGTACCTCCAGCACTAGTTCAAGTTCAGAAGGAAGCAGTAATACCAACACTTTCAGCTGTGCCACCGAAGAAATGCCTCTTTTGATAACCTTGGGTGATGTAGTGACAATCACTACATTAAACTCCAATACTACCCCGCCCAAGGTATCGGGACCACCTACACCTACTTTGTCCCCGGTGGAATATTTAAACGAACAAATGCTAGACGAACTGATTGATGAATGTACAAAATTTGATTCCTACGATCGTCTCATACACGCCATTAACGAAGTGTATTGTTCAGTAGAAAAGCTAAGTAAAAGTTTTAAACGTCCGCCATTAGCGAAATTAACTTCCAGTGCCACTGCAACCAAGTTGCAAGAATTACTCGGCAAATCACCGAAGGAGTTGAAAAAAGAAGACTTACGTACATTAGAGGGTGAACACGATAAAGACGAGGATAGCACTTGTATACAGTTAAATGATCCTTTAGCTGCAGGTGATATGTCCACTGTGGAACCTATGGATGAAGATGGCGGTTCAATGGATTTAGATGATAGTGATTTATCATCACAAAGCAGTGATACTCAAGTGGATTTAGAAAGCCTGAGGCGGGTAAAAAAGAAATTGTATGCTTTAAATAATGCAGCCCTGGCCGCAATATTAAACAATAACATAATACTGTTAACGGAAAACATTAGATTTGGTCGCACGCACGATTGGGAACAAGTGTTACATTGCTTTGTTATCTGTTTTGACATGGCTACAACAAGTAAGAGCATTTTACAGCTTAATCGCACAGTTTAATCGGTTATAAATTTTCTTTCAATAGCTTCTAATCGTTTTGCAGATTTCGGTTATTTGGAATGTAGCATGCCTAAATTATGTCTAGCGGCTCATGTCATGCCTGTTGCAGCACACGCTCGTTTGGCTCGTATTTGGGCCGTACACTCTAAAGATCAATTGCAGTGTTTCATACAATGTTGTCAACAGTTAATTACTTTGCAAGTAATGGTAGATGAAGACGCCGTTCAAGAAAATTCTGATGTCATAGCAGTTACCAAAGTGTTAAAGGTCAGAAAGACAAAGGATAGAATCGAATTAGTTATATTTAAATTAAGTGCATTCTAGATTGCCTTCTACGCTAATATATTAGCGGGAGAATTGGATACTTTCAATTCAGTGGCTGGAGCCACGTCAATCAATTATGAAACGTCATTGGAAACTGGAGGCGGTGCCTCTAGTTCTGCCTCCGGTATAACCGCCTCAAATGAAATGGATGATATTTTCTTCTATACCCAAGTACCTAGACCTCATTACCCGGCTTTCGCCGAAGATAAACTAGAAAAAGAACTGAATGTTTCGTGTATGGATTGCCGTGTTCCTTTAGTGCCCTTCGAAGAATTCTATAATGAGCCATTAAGTGATGCCATACAAATGGATCGTGATTACCTATCTTATAAGAATTTATCTTTGGACCCGTTAGGGGAAGGTAAGCTTCTATTAACCATTGTTGTTAGCGCGGAAATCACTTAATTATTTCCTTCCGGCAGACAATCATTTTTCCTTTATGTTATATTCATTTATATTGACGCCTGCTGCCAAAGTTGTTGCGCTATACTATGATAGTCGTATACGAATGTATAGTGAACGCAACTCATCATTGTATTCTTTATTAAATTATTTTGGTGAGGGTAACGATATGGGAGGACGGCCCGATTTAAAATTAAAAGTGCGGCGTGATAGTCTTGTCGATGATGCTTTAATTGGAGTGAGTTTTCAGATTTGTTAAAAGAAATGATCACAATTTTCCTGTATATACACATTTTCAGTTGGAATTGGTGGCTATGAGTAATCCAAAAGACTTGAAAAAACAATTGGTCGTAGAATTTGTAGGTGAGCAGGGTATTGATGAGGGAGGCGTTTCCAAAGAATTCTTCCAATTAATTATTGAAGAAATCTTCAATCCAAACTTTGGCATGTTTACTCATCAAGAGGAAACCAATACCATGTGGTGAGCTAATATTTATTAAAATTCGTTTATTTTGGTTTTGGCTTATATCGTTTTGTTATTTTTCTTTTCTTTTTTTTTTTTTTAGGTTTAATTCGGCACCTTTCGAGAATGAAGCACAATTTACGTTAATTGGCATTATTTTAGGGTTAGCTATTTATAATAACATCATTTTGGCTGTGAACTTTCCCATGGTGGTATATCGTAAGCTTATGGGTGGCCAGGGTACGTTTTATGATCTCAAAGATTGGAACCCCACCTTATATCGCAGCCTTAAATCGTTGCTGGATTACCAGGAATCAGATATGGAAGAGGTTTTCATGCAGACATTTAAAATCAGTTACAAAACCATATTTGATGAAGTGATAGAGCACGAACTGAAACCAGGTGGCAGTGAAATCACCGTAGGCCAGCACAATAAACAAGAATTTGTAGATTTGTATAGTGATTTTTTGCTCAACAAAAACATAGAAAGACAATTTAGAGCCTTTAAAAGAGGCTTCGAAATGGTAACCGATGAATCTCCCCTGAGGTTGCTGTTTAGACCTGAAGAAATCGAATTGTTAGTTTGTGGTAGCAGAGTAAGTAAATCAGTAATGAATCTAATACTTACTTAAAATATATATATATATATATATATATTCTCTTTCCGTATTTTTAGAAATTTGATTTTGTCGAATTGGAAAAATCTACGGAATATGAAGGCGGCTACTCAAACGATACCCAAATTATTAAAGATTTTTGGAGTATTGTTCACTCATTGCCTGAAGAATCTAAACGTAAGCTTTTAGAGTTCACCACTGGCTCTGATCGCGTGCCGGTTGGTGGTCTAAGTCGATTAAGATTGCTGATAACACGTCATGGACCCGATAGTGATCGTTTACCTACATCACATACTTGTTTTAATGTTCTGTTGTTGCCTGAATACAGTAGCAAAGCAAAGTTAGAGGAGCGATTGCTTAAAGCCATCAATTATTCGAAAGGTTTTGGTATGCTGTAAAGCAAAGCGTGCGTGAAACAGAAGGTTTTGTTGACCGCATTCACAATCTGACTTCAACTATCAGCTCAAAAAAGAAAGGAAAAGCGGGAGAAGGAGGAGGTAAAAAAATACGTTTTTTGTAATTTGTGTAAATTTATTTCAACTAATAATTGAATGAAAAGAATAATAAATCCTTAAGTGTGTGTCTTGTTTTGCGATTTCTTCACTCTACACAAAAGGCTTATAGTAAACGAAGACCACCTTCAGCTTGCTGCAAGCTGCATTATTTTCCACGAAAACTTCTATTCATTTTTTTTTTTTTTTTTTTGTTCAGAAACTGTTTTTAATTTCTTTTTTTTTTTATTCATTTTCTAAAAGGAATTTTTATGCTTACTATTTATTTACATTACTTACACTATAATACAACTCCATTTAAGAATAATAAAAAAATTAACAGCAACCAAAATATGTATATTTTTGGCATTTTGTACTCGCTCTATAATATATATTACAAGCATAAATACATTGACGGCTAGATTTCCAAATAAAACCACAATTAAAAACAGCTTCCTTAACTTTTTTTTTTCTCCTTCTTTTGTAAATAAAGAAACAAAAAGTATTTCAGTTTTTAATTTTATAGAATTTAAACGGTAATTTTTCAAACATTGAAATGATGGGCATATTGACTCATTTACAGTAAAATGAATTTGAATGAAACGAGTCAAATCAGGGCATGTTTTCAAGACTTGAAAAGTCAGGGAAAATTTTTAATTTTGCGAGAAGTAACGTCAGCAAAAAGCTTACCGCCCGGCAACTGCGACTATAAGAAAATTAATTTTCATTCGAGATATGTCTTTTTTAGTTGTTAGCAAGTAAACCGCAGAAAATTTATACACGCTTATACATTCAGATGGGTGCTTCATATATATTTCGTTTGGATCTCATAATCGAGCAATAAAGAGAAATTTAGAAAATCGAAAAAATTTAAAAAGGATTGAAGTGCGTATCTTGAAAAGCAATCCTTAATCCTGTAAAAGAGCAACAGAACAAATTGTGTACATTCATTGGAGAAGAGTTTCACTCTCAGACAATATATATTTTTTTATTCGCTACATCACTTATGATGCAAGGTATATTAACCCTTTGCACTCGAGGGCTTCGAAGCCGAACCATTTAAAATTGGTCTTCAAACTCGAGGGCTCCGTTACGGAGACATTGTAAATAATTTGCAGTTCTTAACATAAAAACAAAAACAAATCGTAAAAATTAGTATTCGGGTGTTTCGCTGTTGGTGACAAATGACGGTCGCGACTCGCGGATTGTAATGCGAATGAAAAAAGGATTAAGTTTGTGCTTTTATTACACTGATCATTTTGGAATAATTTTCTGAATCGATCCAAGCCAGTCTGTCCGTCTGTTGTCTTTCCAGGTATATTTTTTTGTTTAACCTACATATCGCCATTTTTCAGATATTTTGACAAAGTTTGGCACAATGGCGTGCTTTGACCCATTGGCTTGGATGAGTCCACTTTTTCGACCACTTCACATGAAGCCATATATTGAAAAATCGTTAAATAGAAAAAAGATGCAATTTTCAAAATTTTTCGACAAAACTCGCTGTATAATAGTGTTTCGACATGCCAAATTGATACGAAAAATTTCGCTCGATCGGGGCAATTTTTTGAACAGCCTCTTATATAACCGGTCCCTACGAAAACTGTATTCTTATATGGGAAAAGGCTCTAATATTCCATACTTTATAATGAAAATTGATGCGTAAGGGTAAACTGGCAAAGAAGTCATCCTTACCGAATTTGGAGCATATAGGTATATTTTTTGGATACCACCGGATATAAGGATTCTCAGGAAATGTAAACCCTTATATGCTAAAAAGGCCTAGTTGTTAACGCAGTGTAATGAAAATTTGTTCATGACAGTAATTTAATATAAAAATTAAGTCGACCAAATTTGCACTGTACACTTCTTGGACCCCACTCTACATAAAATAAAAAGATTTAATTTTTAATATAATTTTAATATAATGAAAATTGATCCATTGTAGCAATTTAGCAAGAAAATTAACAGTACGGAATGCGGATAACATAGGCCCGTTGTTTAGACCCTAACGTATGTAAAGATTATCATTATAAGCAAGCCCTTGTATGGAGAAAAAGTACAGTTTCTAGGTTTCTACCACGGAATCTGAAAAATAATGAAAATTTGTTAAATTTGGATCAAGTCATATGATGTTTTGGGCATCCTCCAATAAGCGGGCTCTCATGGAAAGTACGTCACGGCATAAAAAAAAACGTGTAATATTTTATCTATTATTATTGCAAAAATTGGCGACTAACTGCACTTGGCGAGGTGATGTAGGACATTTAATAGTCGGCCTTGCCCGACTACACTACTTTTTATTTTTATTTTCGTTAGTTACCATGGGTACAAAACTGTGCTGATATTGTAAGAAGAAATTTGGATTTTTCCATTTTTTGTACAGGTCTTATAATGAAAGTATTGAAATTTCATTTTTCGCACTTTTTTAAGACAAAACTGTTGGGTATAAAAGGTTCGGCCACAGCTGAACATTATTTTACTAGCACGCATTGAGGACAATGCTTTTTATAAGGCGATCAAGTGATATGTGATATGAACAGTGGATGATGATAAAGTAAATAAGTAAAAACATTATATGCGGCTTAAGCCGAATCATCTGTACTACCCATCTTTATCTTAAAAAGAACACGAACAAAACGAAATTTTAGTACCCTGTTATATTAGGTAGGCGCTGCTGACTCTCTTAATTTTTGTGAATGTACTTTAGAGGATCACCCATAGAATATATTTTTGCAGTTTATTAGTAATGAACAAACACCCCATCTTTTTGGTTTGTGAACAGAGGCACTCCCAGCTGTGGTATGGGCGTGTTATTTGACCGATTTGGCTTGTTTTCACTACTAATCTGACTGTAAGAGTTTTCAATCTTTTTACCAATCGAGAGTATGTTTACCATAGACAAATACACAAATCAACAAATAAAAGGACAGACGAGCAGATGGATAGACGGACATGATTAAATTGATTCAGAATTTGATCCTGACTAAGAATATTATGAATGTATATGCTATATACGATTCTCTGAATTGTCTTTCTGGATGTCACAGACGATTTGACAAACCGAATCATCCTCTTATCTTTCAGAAGTGCGTTAAAAGGTTAAATAAATAAATATTTACGCTAATGGATTAAGTAATATAGAAGTCGCTTGGATTCAACTTTAAGTAGGAATTGTACGTGTGAATACTTAGTTACTATAGAATTATGACTAGTCCGTGTGCCTGTTTGCTTTCATTTGTGTAAACGTTGCATATTTAATGCAATTTAAACGCAAAAAATTTCTTTCTTTCCATATATTATATTTCGGGTTTGATTTGATCCGTATGGTTACGGAATTGCCGCCTAAGGGGCAGTGGTCGAAATTTTACAAAATTCGTGTTGGTTGGTGGTTGCGATTGATGCAGTATCACAATATGTAAGAAAGGTATTGTCGCCTAAATTAAAAGCTAGGCTTATGCGAATATGGATACTATTCCTGCGCGCATTGCGTAAGTCAATGAAATTTTACAACTGGTGCAGCAAGGCCGGCACGCACGCAAGCTCTCAGGAAATAGCGGAGGCTTATACAGCATCCTAGGTCATGTTTGTAAAAATTGTCATTTTTCTATCAGCTTCATATTAAATGAGTTGATTTTAAACTTTTCATAAAATGTATTTAATTAATAATTTTAACTGTTTGACATTCATTTCATTTAAATATTATTCTAAGAATTTAACACTTCACCGTATTTGATTGCTCGTTCTGTTCCAATTCGTTATTATCGCAATGATTCAAGTCAACGATTTCTTGCAGAGTATTTATTGTAGAATAACCGTTACGTTTAAATTTCATTTTGAGTAAAATCTCGAACGGAAAACGGAAATAACAACGTAAACGAATGCTGTGAAGTCACAGAGTTATCTATATAGAAATGTAACACTTCTCTTTACTTTGAGAGAGCAATTTACATCTACTGCAATAAACGTTTGCATTCTACTTACCCCGTTAGCAAATATTTGAGAAATATTTAAGATACATATTATAGGATAGTTCCTTAGTAAGCGTTTGTATTTCAAAGAGGACGAATTTTTAATTACTCATTACTCAAAAATTGGTCCATGATAGTAATAAGGGATGAAAATTAATTGTACCAAATATGGATCACGAAGATCTTTGCATGAGAGCGATTTAAGTTTGAGGACGTTGCGTTAAAAAATAATAAATATAAGCTTCGGCACGAAATAAATGGGCAATTTCATTGGAGAGAGTTGTGCTTAATGGTCAGCTCTGCCCGCTGTTTAAGGGCCATATATAAACATGCACTAGCCTTCCTAATTCCTTTGCTCCTCCAATATGCTTGTGCTAAAGATGACTTCCGTCTTTCATTTTTTCAGATCGTGTCACGAAATTGTGATGCTTGTAGATTGTGTCATTCGCCTTGGCATTTCATACAGAAGGAGACCACAAAATTGGCTAACTAGTCTTTCTTTAAAAATCGTTTTTCTCTTGTGAAAAACAGGCGGCTTTGTATTATCTCATTCATCTCCTTTAGATGTTTTCGAAAATACGCGAACTAAACCTATTTAATTTTACAATTTAGCCTAAAAGTAGACCGCCATAATTTGTATGATCGCTATTGAAAGGCAAAGCACAGAGTCGCTTATAATAAATAAATGGTTAAAAGCCCAACTTAACAACTTAAACGGCGGTCCATCGTTATTCCCTCTATTTTACAATTGTGTTGCCCTTTTTTTTCTACGTTTGAGCCGTGTTAGCTTCTAGCATACCGTAGAAAACGATTTTTTGAGTTTAGTGGGTGAAATTTCGCTAAAGATCGAATAAAAGAGAAAATATACCGGCACCGGATGACAGGGCGGCCAACTGATATGTTTATTTTAATAACAAGTTTTTTCAAAATTTGTTCCGTGCTTTCTTTTCCTTGCGAACTATTACGGAGCACATTTAAGGCCAAACGCGAAAACTGCTATATAATGCATTTTGAGATTCGTGCTCCGTAGTCTTTCGACACACATACATATTAATTTCATCGAATATGTGCAATAATAATTTATTTTTCCTTTGAATATATTGCTTATGAGCAATTTTATGATCGAAAGAACTCTCATGTAGATTATCGACAACTGGAAGTTTCGCGTAAAAATATCGAGCAAATTTACTCTCTCCGCAACCTACTTCTGCAAAGAATTTACATTTTTTTTGTGTTTACTATGATAGAAGATTATGAAAACACCATCGATTTTCTTAAGGATTGGACGGCAAAATAAAGACTTTGTTTATTTTGTAACTACAAAGCTTACAAAGGCCAAATTTGATTCTCCGGAAGTGTACCGATGCAAATTTAATCCATATTATATGTGTGTCATATACTAATTTCTTCTTCGGCAATTAACTGCAAAAAAAAAAAAAAAAAACAATTTTAGTTATGGGGCTATTTATCCTTTAATGACAAAAGGATCAAATACAAAAAAATTTTCACTAAAAAAATTAGAGTAACATATAAGGCCTTATAAATTGATTTCGTTTTTGCAAATCACTCGTCTCTAAATAACTGGAATCACTTTAATTAGTCAGAGTATCTTACAACGGTTTGGCGCGATCGAACAAAAAGTCACTTCTTCCTCTATTTCTCGCCGCTGCCTTTTTTGTTTTATTTGTCTTCCTTTCTACTTTACCTTAATGGGTTAATAAATTTAAAACGATTGCTGTCTACCATTGTTATATACGTATATAAATTTTATTTCTTTAGTATTAAATATTTACGTTGAAGTTTATTTCAATAAATTTTTCTTTAAATCATTTCATTTTCGCTTTTGTTGTTGCTCTTTATAATAATAATTTTTCTTTCTGTGGTTGTGGTTGACGTGTGTATTTTTTTTTTTTTTTTAACTTTTTTTATACCTACTGCTGCGTATGCTTTGTTACCCTAAATTGTATTTAATAACGTTGTATAAATTGGGATGTGTGTAATCTAAATTCTCTGTTTATTTGTGTATATAGAGCGGAGTGGTGGATCATATATATATATATATATATATATATATATATATAAAACTATGTTTTAAATTATATTTGAAAAATATTTGCGAATATTTCTAGAATTTTTTCTACCTTTGAAGAGTGGTATCCTTAAAATCGTTAAGATGATATAAATCTTTTTTATTGTAGCTATTGTTGTTGATAAATATTTATTAATTAAATTTTTACAAATTGCGTTTCTATGCTTTGTTTTTCATATTGCAAAATTTTTAACATTAGTTTCATTAAAAAATAAAAAATTAAAATAAAGTAGTTAATATTTTTGTTTAGGTAAATATGATATAAATTTATTTATTTCTCAATATATTTTTAAAATAATTTCTATTTAAAAAGCGGATACAAAAATTTTTAATGTTTACATATATATATATATATATATATATATATATATAGATATATGTATATATATACATATATATACACACACAGATATATAGAGGATTATAAAGTACTTTAAATTGTAAATATATGTAAATGCTATAAGAGAAAAAAATATATAAAGAAGAAAAAATGTATAAAGTTTGTAAAAAAAATGTATAAAAATTAAAGTTCAACTTTATTTATTTAGCAGTAAAAGAGAGAGACAGATGATTTTCGATTTATCTTAAACACATAAAAAGAATACTAAAACCGTTTGAAACTCTCAGCAGATTTTATAAAAGCGACACGAGAGTCTTTTTAACAAATAAAATTCAGAAGTTCATAGCCGATAACAGTTAGCCAGCATTTGTATGCGTTCGAATTTCAAAATTTTTTAAATGGCTATAATTTATTAATCTTTTAAAAAGAAAAACGCTAACACCCTGCTACGTCCATTTTTCATCTATCAAAAGTAATTGCATTTTATAATGCAGTTTTGGTGAAAACTTAAAAAAGAAAACCAAAAATCAATTGAAATGTTTTTCAAAACATCGAAAGCTCGAAATGTATGTATGCAAAATTTGCTGCGATTCAGCAAGAATTTTTAGTAATTAAAAGAAAAAATTTTAAGAAAAAATGTTTTTCTCTACTACGGCGAGGGGGGTTCTTCAGAATGTATAAAAAGGCAATTTCATTTTTAAAAACATTTCAAGGAATTTGCATATATTTGCATATATGCTGTAGTTTTTAGTTCTCACAATTTTCAAAGTCGTAGTAAGTGTACGTAAGTACTGTTAAATGATTTTCCCGGCGCATGGACAATATTATAAAAGAAAAGATATTTTCAAATATTAAGTTGAATGAATTTTGTTTCACAAATTTTTTAATAATATTTTTTTAATGCAGAGTACCCGCATCCGTATATTGCAATTTCATATTGTAAGTCCAGTAGGCGACAGCATGCAATCATAGCTGCCGTAATAGGAGACGATTTTATAAATTCTTTCTACTCATTGCTCATTTCGTTCCGGCATAGAAATATACGAGTTTCTAATTGAAATGCGGTAAGGGAAAAAAGCTCGTTTGAAATGAGTATACGCATCACGTATATGTAATATTTCTATATAGTTGCTTAAAAGTAAAAAACGGGTAAAAAAAAGAAAGGGGCAAAGTAAAAGCGATAAGAGCTCTCGTGCTTACTACTAATGCAAACTTTAAAATTTTCTGAGAAATAATTTTTTTGCTTTGACATTTTCAAATTTAAACTTTATATTAACGTATTGACGACAATAAGAGTGTTTATAGTCCGTGTCCTACATCGCGTATTATTGTTTAAAAAAATATGTTAATTGACCTTAAGCGAAACGAAGGAATTATTTTTAAGCGTGTAACACTAAAAACCCCTTATTAGAAATATCCTCGGAGAAGCGTGTTTCACTATTCATAAAAACCATATTAATTGTTAAATGCTACACAATTTCCTTAAATAATTAAGAAAAAAAAAAAAAATAAGAAAAAAAAAAAGGAAGAAAATCTGATGTATTAGAGTATAAGCTCATTATAGCATAACAATAGATTTGCGAATTAAAAACTACGGACACCATACAAACATGAATATGCACATACACATAGGTCCATATATATATAATAAGTTTTGCTTGCTGAGCAGATAGATTAAATACCCATAGAACACACCAGATTACTCATTTACGTGTTAATCTGAAGTTTTCTTCAGAAAAATTTCTTTAATATAAATGAGAAGATGAGGAAAAGAAAACAGAGTAAATGTTCGCGGTGAAAGCAAGACTGAAAAGGGATTATTTTAAGTTTTTGTTTTTGTGTTTTTTTTCTCGTTTTTTTTTTTTTTGTTTTTTTTATATTTCTTATTTATATTACAGAAGTTTTTGTTATTAAAACTCTTAATGTTTTTTTGTTGATTTGGTTCGAAGTGCTTCTTATTGCGAATAGATTTCGAAAATAGGCATATAGGTATATATAAACATGATTTTTTTTTTTTTTTGCTTATTGTGATTTTTTCTTAGGTGAGTCAGTTGTTGTTGCTTTAATTACGAATTTTTTTTTTTCTTTTTTACTAATAATTTCTTTTTTAATTTAATACTTTTCCTCTTGACGACGTTCGAGAAATCCACTTAACTTTCATAAACTATTACACAAGTGGTTTTCAGAATCTACTTGTTAAGGTTTCGTTTTAATTAATTTTTTAATAACCATTTTTCACACTATTTTCCCTTTGCAGAGAATTACGATTGTTTTTGTATATAATTTTATCTCTATTATATTTCCATTTTATTATGTCATATGAATGGTTTTATTTATTTATTTATTTATATATATATTTTTTTTTTTTTATATTTTACTCTTGTTTACCTGAATCTTAATATCTAAGCGATCCGTTTTGTTAATTCAATTTTTTCTTTAATTATTATAATCGATTTAAAATAATATGTTTACTTATACGTCTCTTGTTAGTTTTTCCATCTTTTCTACTTCATATAATCATTTTTATGATTTCATATTCTTTTTTATATGTCTATATATGTGTGTATATGTGCATTCCATTTCACTTTCAAACTCTTCTATTTTTTCTCATAAAAAAAAAAAAAAAAAAAAAAAAAAATTATAAAAACTTTCTTATTATAAAAATTTAAGCAGTAATTTTTCTTACTTATTTTTAAAAACTTGCAGATTATGTAGAGAATGAAAGTTTAAAAAAAATTAATTACTGCTTAGTTGGGTTACTGTTATTGCGGCTTCTTCATAGTTTGATCTATGGACCATATTTGTTACCAGTTGGCCATACCCGGTTTGTTCAGAGTCATGAAGTAGATTTGACACGATGAAGCACCTTTGGCACTACTGAAGAATACTTTGTCGTTGCGTTCGCAAAGGAATTTCAAACGTTGGGCTTTCTTATGCATAAACACGCCATCTAAATGGCCTGTCTCCACGGATCGTATCTTTATTATGCGTAAAAAGAGGCTTTTACAAGAGAGAAAATACACAAATTATTGTTAACTTACCTCAATTGCTTTATTGCCCCAGCCCATGATTTGTCCAGTACCAATATATGCCACAGATGTAGGCATTTCGCCCCACTAAAAACGAAAAAAAAAAAAAAAAAACAAGAAACAAAAAAAGCTATAGATATCTACACAGAAATTACAAAAGCAAAAGACTATTAAACGAGACGAAGCGATACGTAGGGGAATGTCCCTAATCCCTCTCTCCAGATCTCACATTTGATAGCGGCAACGATTAGACTTTAGACGAATATTTAAAAATGTGGTTATCATAAGTTTAAGTCTTTCATTTTCGATATATTTTCTACCGTTAGACAACATTTACTTAACTAAGGGTCTCTTGCGCCCTTGCGCCCTTGCGCTAAGCGGATGACTATTAAAAATGAACTTTCCTTCCTATTCTATTAAGATGATGTACAAAAGTGTGTAATGATTTCTGCTTTTCTGATCAGTAGGCAAATCTAAAGGTAAGCATTAAATAATCGATGCGTACGTTTGGGGATTGCAGGTGAGCGATGATTCTTATATTTCTAACTCGTTTACCTGTAATACAATATTTTTGGAGACTCGGCCGACTGTATTCACGTATACACCCTCATTGTCGTAACAAAGCAGCAACTGCATTCCATTTGAATTCGGAAGAGCAACGATGCAATGCGGAATTATTGCACCCTGAGTCTAAGTACATAAAATGAAAGAAAGAAAGCAATAAGTTAAAATATTATAGCCGTGCAAGGCCGACTCTTAAACATCCATCCTACACCACCATTGTCTGCCATATTTCAAATAAAATTTTTAGCCCTATAAGAATGACTTTTACAAAAAGTTACGTGGATTGATTTGATCCATATTTGCTATAGTTAAAACATTCGCTTATATGGAAGCGAATTCGACAAAAAGACTAACACAGTCTCAATTTGGCTCAGCAAGTCAACGTGTTAAATAATCAGATATATTAAAAATTATACCGTTTAGTTATGTAAACGCTAGCTTGAAAACCATTAAAGATGGAACATGAAGAATATGAAGCTATACGTAATGGGGGAAGAAACGCCGTAGAAAATGTTCAATCTTACTCATTCTTAACAGATTTGTCTGCACTCATTAAATATCGGGAAATTGCGATATCGATAGACATCGGATAAGCAGAATATAATCCTGAATGGGTTAGTGTAATAACAGATGGATTTATCTTAAATGATTTTGCGTGTTTCATACGAGCATCGAAACATCGTGTATCTTAACAGGTGGTGTAGGATATAATGACATATCGCTCAAACATATTGCTCAAGAGGACATATAGACGCTATATTAAAATTTTAAATAACAATAATAATATTATAAACTACACACATACATGTAAGAAGCAATATATATAAAAATTTTTAAAAGACCGCAATCTCGTTTCGCGCACAAAACTATGATTCAAGATGAAATCTGATCATTGTGCTTTCATATTAGCGAATATAATAAAATTTAAGATAATGCAATTATCGAGTTATGACCCCTTAACGCAAGCGCTCATGCGAAGTGCTTTGAGGATGAAAATGTCGTTGTACTTACATGCTTAGGAAGATAGATATCATAAACTTCAGCGGAGTCTAAATCGACGGCGTGAAAACCTTCGGCGGAGCCATAAATTACCTTTAGTCTGGATTGATCTTCAATAGTAAGATCAACTAACAAGGGACGATGCTCTAATTCGCCAAAATTCTAAATATGAAACAATTTTGTTGTTGTTATTGTTTGTGTGTACTCTTGATGAATTTCATGTTTACCTTAAATGCCATAAACTTATGATACGGTTTTGGGGCCCAGGCATAAATTTCGATCGAGTCTTTTAATGCAATCACTAGGAACTTAATCCTTTCGTATTTCACAATTTTGAAATGTACAGCACCTTGTAAATCACCGACATTAATCCAACCATTACGTCGTTCCACTTGCTAAACACGATTATTAAAATTCTCATTTAAAGATGTTGTTAGAACCTAGATATGAGTTTTTGAAAACTTAACCTACATCTGATAAGCCATCGGTGCGTAAAATTTTCGATTTCAACCATGATAGATAGTATACTCGTACACGATTCTTTTTGCCCGATATAGTAACCAATATATTTTGGCCTTCTAAAACTTCCATTTGCTGGAATCGACGTCGCGATATTAGTTGGTAAACCTATCAATAGCAAATATAGCAAAATGTAGTGAAGGTTTTTTACAAACAAACACCAAAGTGCAACAATGAAGTTTACCTTTCCCTGACCAGAACGATCCAATAGCATAAGACCGTTTTCGGTACCAATCAATAAATTTACTCCCCAGAGCGCGGCACATAGAATTTCCGAATTGAAACGTTTCTTGTATTTCCGTATTTCCGGTGTATCGCTAGAAGCCTCATGCGATGTAGGCGTTACATTGACATTAACATGTGACTCGCGTCGCGATGGACCCGAGCCACCAGCACCGAAACCAAATGTCAAAAAGCTACGTTGTTTCTGTTGAAGCGCATACGGTGACACAGGCAATGTGGATATGGACGTTGCAGAGGAGGAAGAAGCAGATTTATGTAATAGATTAGTAATGCTGCTGGAAGAGCGAGTTTTACTAATTGAATTCTTAGGACTATTTTGACGCGAAGACGAAGAATTTGTCAACGATATTGTCGATTGCGGGGAATTACTAGACCCACCGCTTCCGCTACCGCCGCTAATAAGCAATTTTGACGGTGTCGAATTCACGGATGAGTTGATGGCCGCTTGATACTAACAGCAATTATTGAAAGAGCAGTTGATCGAGAAGGAAGAGAATAAGAAAAAGAGAGAGAGAAACAATAGTTTTTTTTTTCTTCTTCTTCTTTTTTTTTTCTTAATTTTAAGTAGAATTGAAAACCAACCAAAAAAAAAAAGGAAACTTTTTAAATCATAGGTACACGATATTGATTGCCTTATATCTAGGTTACAACTCATATGTTGTATATATTGTAAACATACGAATATAAAAAAGAATTTTAAGTTGTAATGTAATCTAAGCTCGTTTTAAGAATAAAATACGTATGTATGGGAATGTAAGTGGAGAACAGCATGCCATAACCAATGTCTTCGTGTATAGAAAAAGGAAACTACTTGTATCTTGATTGCAAATGCGTTTTTTTTTTTTTTTTTTTTTTTTTTAGTTTAGAATAAATAATGGTTTCACTATTCAAAAAAAAAATGTTCGAATTCGTGAAATCAATATTTGTTTCAATAATTGTTATATTATTATTTTTTACATAATGTGATTAGTCTTTCCCAGACGCCATGAAGCATAGAAAGTTATTACTTATTAAATTTATTTATTCTCCTTCTTATATTTAAATGTTTTTCTTGCTAATGTAATATAATTAAATCGATTTAATTGAACGTTGAATATTAACATACATATAGTTGGTATATGACATTTGCATGTAAACATAAATGGATATTGTGTTGTATATGTAGTAGTTATGGATATATACAAATGCATTTTTCCCCAGTAGAAAAAGGGGATCTATCTGGAAGCAGAAGAAGGCAAAGTTCTCAGTCGATCTTAATTAAAATTTTAGTGTACAATACTCATAGTCAATTTCATCTAGTTTCCGTATTGCAAATCAAAATATGCATAAGTATGCGTATCTTTACTCAAAAAGTTGCAAAGAAAGAAAAAGAAAAGTTGTCTTTAATGTCTTAAGACAAGAAAATAATTACATTCGTTTAGAGCTCGATTTGGTGATACTTAACATGAGCTTGTTTAGAACAAGTCAGAACAAGTACTCTATCAATAATAAATGGAAGAAGCGTTTTGGCATCCTATAGCATCATTTTAACATAAATATGCCGTTCCGTAGAAGATATTCTTCCAACCTAACATATTCAATGGCATCCATCCCATTTAGCATGACATACCAGAGAAACAATCCATCGGTTTGCTGGAAAAACACACGAGACATTTTTGCGGTTAGAGGGTCATATATAAGACAATGCTAAACAATTTACTTCATACAGATAGATTAAAAGAGGCAAGAGCGTAGGACAAGCCAAATACAAAACTTATGACGTTTGAGGTCACGAGACTTCATTGAAAGCGACGACATGTTAAAGGTTTGTTCGGTTTGCATTCCGAAAATTTCGATATCAAAGATGGGCCTCGCTCTGATCGAACAATCAACGAAGTCAATCAATAAATCATCTCGTAATCATACCAAAGGCCTAGGAAAAAGATTGTTCCATAAGATCCACCCAAAAAAGCTCAATGCTGCTTAGGTGCCTCACACGTTGTCGATGCGATATCCATTACTGAACTGCAACAAGATCGAACAACTAACTATTCGAGGCAAATCATTTCTGGCTGTTATTTTAGTATGGGAAGAATTTTAGAGTTCGTCGAAATGGCTGATTCTAATGTCTATTACTAGAAATTAGCCAGACTGCGGCAAGCGTTCAAGAAAGAGATCAAAATGAAAAGGAATGAAAAGAAAGTAAGGAAAGGGCGGAGTCTTCCACATACGACATGGACAAATAAGATAGAATCAAAAGGTGCAATAAAACCGTGATATTATAACCAATTTCATAGGAAATATTGAAATTGTACATTCATGAGTTGAATCGTCCTATATCGGAAAAATGAAGAGTATTTAACTTTTTAAATAAACAAAAATCTCGCTTTCATTTTTAATCCACAATCTTTGTCCAGTAATGAAACTAGAAATTATGTACCCGAAGTAGACAACATTTTTGCCGATCATGCGGAAATTTATCCAACAAACTTAACCAATGTCATCGTGTTTATCATTTTGAAAGCCTTTCTAACGCGCTCTCTTCCACCAACACGCAAACATTTTTACAATAGTAACTACTTCACTAGAATTGCCTGTACATGATCAAAGATTACAATACTGTTCGTATAAGCAAATAAATAACAGTTTCTTTCTTCCTTTTTTTTTTATATCGACAATAAACACATATTGTTCTGTTCGTTTTATAAAACCAGAATGTCTTTTGGAAACACTCGAGCGAAATATTTCGCGTACGTCTTGATTGAATTTGACTGAAAAGCTTTTATGCTTGTCCTGTCTCCGTGCCACGATCATTTGTTACATTCTGTGGAAAAGGCCCATGATGGTCTAAAACTGGTTTCAAAGGTGGACTGCGAACGTTATTTGGCCAAGCTTTTCGAAATATGGCTGAAGGTCATACATAAAAATAGCTGTCTTTACATATTTCATTACAATTCAGTTTGATTAAAAGAACGATTCAATAAAAGATGAAAGAGAATCTCTCAGTACTTTTTTCCCAAACTATTATTCAACATAACATACCTGCTGTTGGGCCGGGATAGTACGATAGTACTGCAAAGAGTATTGCAAATTTTTAATTTACAAATTTTAGCTAATTGTGGATAAACCTGACGATCGCTTCAGCCCAATTTTGAACATTATTTAAGTCTATATTAATCATTTTTAGACATAGACAGGTAATTTTGTGATCAAAAATTGAACAAACGGTAATATTTCTTTTACATGAATCCCACAAGAGATTGAAAGGGCATCACATATACTGAATCGGCATCACATTTCGGAATTTATTTAATCCTTTTCCTAAATTATTTTAATGAATTCTTCAAATGTATGTGTTTTACTGTCCCCTTTGGGGGCGATATCTCTACATGTCAGTTTCCCGTTGACATTATTGTGTTGAATAGATTGTAAATTAAATACACAAAACGCTTTTTTTACACGGCCGCTATTAACCGATTTCGAAATAAAACGGTTCACCGATAAGAATAAATACACTTTTTCACACGAAGTTTTTTTGTTGTAGCATGAATCCCAAAAAAAAAAAATTTTTTTTTAACTTAAATTTTAACTTTGTTAGTGGCCTGGCCTACTACGAGGAATATCCAAACTTTATGATCACTTTTTCTTTATCTCGTTGTACTTCATCTTGAATACAGCATTTGGTTATTCACTGTTTGTTTCGGGTTAGGCCGCTCAGTCCGTAGAAAGCAATAAATTATTTTCTTTAAAGTAATAAACGTACATTTTTGTTTGTTACCAAGTAGCGACGAATAGTTGTGAAACTGATTTTTTTATTTCTAATTTCAATTTCAATTTTTTGTATCAATTTTCACTATGCACTTATTTGATTTTTTTTTTTTTCTTTTGTAATAAAAGTGAATTGCTTTTGTTTCATATTAATATATTATGGATTTGTTGTCACTTTTTTTGCACGATTTTTTGAGAAAATATTTAGAGTTTTTTTCACGGTACACGATTTTTTAAAGTTGCAGAGCGTATGCCAAAGCTCACCGTAGCTTGAATGCATATCTGTAGACGATTTTTTTGCACGGTTTTTTAAGGAACATATCTACCGTGTAAAAAAAGAATTGGGTGTATGTAATAAAAAAATTATAACAAAATATGGCCAAACAGAGAACAAAGCCAGTCCGGGGACTAAAGCGAAGTTGCTAAATAAATTTGAGTGATTTGAGCGAATATTGCTTATCTGCGCGTTACAAAAAAGGATTTATGCGCTCAATGCTTCTGACAAGGGTATGAAAATGAGAAAGTAAAAGACACTATAACTATATATTTAGATTGGATCGAATCTTTGGATTCTCCTAACTTGTTCTTTGGTCAATCAATCTTTATATTTACCTTCGAGCATACGTTCAAATGCCTTCATTCACTCTGATCCATTGGACATAAGATACTTTGAAATGGATATAAGATATTGATTGCAGGTCGTTTACAAGGCCAGGGATTACAATTTTCAACTTCTTTTCAATTACTGGGAGTTCATCACGTCCATTTCTAAATTCGATTTATGGCCCTCCCTAAGCTAAGACTGAAATATTGAAAAATCCAATTACAGAATATGAACGCATATGTGTGAAAATTTTTAAAATTTCATATCCATATGGCAATGGTGGTCGTCGAAAGCGTGCACTGTTCTCTTCATTTGCATATTTGTCGTGTTGACAAACGTAGCAGTCGCCAGCTTACAAATATTGTAAAGCCCTGTTGGGATAGTATTCGATTAACGCAGTCTTTCGTTTTAAAAAAAAAAAAACATGTCGAACAAAAAAGTTATTCGCCATTTTGAATAGAAACCGTGTGCCACAACAAATCGAATCAAAATTATTTAAAGACGAATCGACTTGAACGCTCTGCCACTGTTTTTGAAAATATCTCAATCGACCGTAATTCCGAAAGTTTTTTATGTTTTTAATGAAAAGAAGAAGCAGTGCATTTAGTTCACATCCTCATCCATACTTCAGTGCCCATATATACGATGCATCATTTATGTATGTATTTAATACAATTTGTGTTCAAAAATCAAAATCCCAAAATTGCTCTTTCACAACTATTCAGATATCGTTTTGAGAGTAATAAAACTTTAAAATGCGAAACGGGGAATAGATTGATGGCATTCCCCATTTTCCATTTCTTTAATAAGCGATTTAAAAGAACTTTTCTTCTTCGTCTTTTTTACTACTCTCCTTCAAGAAAATCAACAAATAATAATAAGCTGCAGAAATAATTTGACCGCAGAAAAGATTTTATGAAAAGTATATATTTTTAAGATTTAATTGATTGGAACTCATTTGACCGCAAATTGAATAAAGTCAGTTGTTAGTAGCGTTAAAGTTGAATATAGTATCTTTTCTTCTAGCAAATTGATATAATCGATCTGCTAAGGTTGAAGAATCCTTAAATATTTTCATTGATGCTTTATGATGCATTTGA